CTCCCTCCATATAATAGATTTAATAATAATAATCCTTGCATTTGACATGGCATCTCATCATGTGTTCGAGATGCCTCAAAGCGCTTCGCAGAATATACGGTAAAGTGAATTGACTGCATATTTTGTGGGAGAAACAAATTTAAAGGCTGTGCGTTTAAGACCCTACTGTTTTACAACAAATCAAAACAGACAGGGGAATTGCTTCCATCCTGCTGCCATGTCCGTAATGCTGGTTAAGATATTCCTCTTCACTTAGCACCATGATCCGAGACATTACAAAGGAACCTGAAGGGAAATCAGAGATACTGGCTTTCAAATTCAGATTGATTCCTTCCTCACCTGGAACTCTCTCCCTCAAAAGGCAGTGGATGTTGGATCCATTCACATCTTCAAGACTGAGGTGGATAGATATGTGTAAGCTCAGGGTATTAAGGGATATGGGGCAAGGCCGGGTAATTAGACTTGAGGTACACATCAGCCACAATCTTATAGAATGGCGGAACAGGCTCGAGGGGCCGAATGGCCTACTCCTGTTTCTATGTTTCTCATGTAACATAATGGGCTTTGGAATGATGGGTGATATGACAGTGCCTGTGAAGAGAGGCACTTTTTTAGTGTGGCAACTCAAGGTCAACAATAACAATAATACTCCTTGCATTTGATATAGAGCTTTTCAAGTCTTCCGGACGTCCAAAATTGCTTCAGAGAATATACTGTAAAGTGAATTGACTGTATATTTGTGGGCGAAATGTGGCAGCCAATTGTGCACAGCAGTGTCCCACCAACAATCGTGGATTGAGTGACCAAATTATTATTATTTTTTTCTTGAGGGTTTATTATCCCCAGAAAAGTGATCCACCAATCGATAACAATTGGGTTCGTACTTACTGCTTGGTAAACAGAGGTTTGTGGAGTAGGAAACTTGCCTGATATTTTGCCCTGCTGGGAATTGAACCCAGGTCTGTCTTGCAAGCCGAGTGCTCTAACCACTGAGCTACAGGACTCCAGTATGGGGGAAAGAGCAGTTGAGTGGGACTGAAAGGATTGCTCATCAAAGAGCAAAAATAGACATGATGGACCAACTGGGTTTCTTCTGTGCTGTGAATTTCTATGGTTCTATGGTCACAGCTCCTTGCTATTTCCCCCATTTGTTTTTAAAGGCAGAAGGAAGTTTCCACCAGTGTCAAAAGGATATGGACTCACACCCCTTTTCAGGACTTTGAACTTAGTCTAGGCTGACATTCTGGGGGTGTGCTGCAATGTCAAAGGTGCTGACCTTTGGATGAGATGTTAAACTGAAGCCCCGTCTGCCTGTTTAGATAGTTTAAAGATCCCATGGCACTATTCGTAAAGAGAAGGGAGTTTCTCTTGCGTCCTGGCCAACAGTCTCCAAATAAAATTGATCATTCACTTCATGCCTGTTTATAGGGCATTGCTGTGCGCAAATTAGCATGGAGTGAGTGACCAATTTTATTTGGGAGATTTAATAATTAGAGGGAGAAACGGGAGGGGATTTTAGGCACAGTCAAGAGGAAAGTCTTCAGTTGTGATCTGAAGTTGGGCAAGGAGATGGTAAGGCAGAGGGATTGTTGCAGGGAGTTCAGGGTGGCGTAATGGCTGAAGATAAAAATGGGACGCTATTGAGTCCTACTCATTCCCTGTAGAAAATGATCACTTTCACATGGGATCCATCGGCTGATCTCCAGTTCTTCATCTCGACTCTCCTGACTTGACCTCTCTCTGCTCCCTTGAGCTTTTATGCTTTCTTTGCCCTGAATCTAGTTTTCATTCAGCATTACTATCCTCTTCCGTTGCTTGTCCAACAAGGACCATCCTCCTTTTCAGGGCTTTTGTATAAGGCATTGGCAGGAGCTGAGTTGGAATAATCCCTCCTCCCTGAGGCTGGTGTGTCCCTTCCAAATTCTGCTGAGCCAGGCTGGCTGGTAAGACACTGCTGATGACAGACAGATAATCTGGCTCATCGGCAGGACTTGGAAGGTCAGACCAGTCCTTGGGGACAGGGATTCTTCCCGCTCAGCTCCTGCTAACCCTGCAAGCCAAAGCCCCAGCAAAACAAATAGCAGGAAGGAAGCATTCCAAACAGTGCTCTCAATAGGAAGCTGTGTGGTTTCAGCTGGTTAAACCCCAGCAATTACTCCAACGCACACCCTTGAGTCCCCAGGTCAGGTTCTCACCAACCTGCGCCTGATATTCTACGAAATTAAGGTAAGCAGAGTGTGCCCCTGCAGGGAGAGCGATTCCCTTGCAGACGCAGGGAAATCTCCTTGTGTGGCATTCTCACTCTCAGTCTGGTTTGGATACCCTTAAGCACAGTGTTGGGTTTCCTCATGTGTCAGACACCTGGCTGACCTCCGGCTTGACAGAAACCTGGATCCATATTTTTTAAACTTAACCAGAAACACTGATCAGTGTGAAAATATCACTAAAAATACCCATAAATTGATCTGAAGTATATTTATGTGCCTCAAGATAAGGGCAAAGTCAAACCATTGCAAAAAAATATGAACACATTTCTCTTTATTAATATTTTTGCTCAACTCCTGACATAGTACAGCTCTCGTTCAATAATTGTTGCCTGCAGCAGTGATGGATGCGTGTGTGGTATCAACAGTAACCTCTGGAGAAGCAGACAGTAGTCACAATGTGTCTTTGTTACAGAAACAAAAATCTTTTGGTAAAAACAGCCTAATTTTGTTACAGCCTCTTTTCACTCCATTTGCCACTCAATCTATGACTGTTTGTGGGATATTGCAGTGCGCAATTAGCTGCTGCATTTCGTCCACAAAATATGCAGTTAATTCACTTTATAGTTTATTCTGTGAAGCCCTTTGAGGCACCTTATGATATGATAAAGCGCTATCACCAAACTCTGTGACCCCATCTCCCCCATTCTCGCCCAATTCCATTAGCTCCCTATCCTTCAGAGGATCCAGTTCAAGATCCTGGTCCTCATCTACAAAGCCCTCCATGGCCTCACCCCACCCTACCTCTGAGACCCCCTAACCCCCTTCCAACCCGCCCGCTCTCTCCGCTCAGCCGGCTCTGGCCTGATCCACGTTCCCCGATCCACCTGCCCCACCATTGGTGGGAGAGCCTTCAGGCACTCTGCCCCTGGAATTCCATCCCCCAATCACTCCGCCTCGCCCCCTTCTTAGCCTCCGTCAAGTCCCACCTCAAAATCCTCCTCTTCGACCATGCCATCAGCGACCCCCCTTCCCCTCCTTTCTCCCCATCTGACCCCAGCTCGGGTCTGAAATGCTGTACACTATCCAGCGCCTTGGGACATCCTCCCGACGTGAAAGGCGCTATGGAAATGTATTCTTGTTGTTGTTGTTGTATATCAATTGCAAGGATCATTATTAGTATTATTAATATTTTCATAAATTGTGCCGTAATGTTACGATCAATTCGATCGCTCAATCTATCAGTGAATAGACCGATTTCAAGACACTCACATTACTTTTCATCACTTCATTCCCTGGCACGGCTCCACCTCCACAATCTGCTCACACCCCATTCTACTACCTGTCGCCTCAGCTGGCTCCAGCCTCCTGCACATCCCTTGTCCCCAACGCTCCACCATCAGCGGCCACACTTTCAGCCACAACCCCTCAAAACTGTGGAACTCTCTTGCTCAATCCCTCTGCCTTGGCCCCCTCCCCCCCACCTTCAGATCGCATCTGAAGAATTTCCTCTTTGACTGTGCCTGCGGTCACATCCTACCTCTTCCCAGCTCGGAGTGAAGTTCCGCCACTGTTAAGCGCTCTGAGACGCTACCTTGTGTGAAGGGCAAGGGTCGTAACCTTATGCCGCCAGTAATGTTGCTTCTATCAAGGTTCTTATCCACCCAATAAAGAAGAATTTCACACAGAGAGGGAATGATGTACGTGTGGGGGTGAGCTGTAAAATGAACTTAAATGGAGGTGGGTGAGGGTGAGTGGTGTGAAACGAGGGAGTTTGGGTGATACAATGGGTGCGAAGCATAGATCCTAAATCTGCGGCTCTCAAGTTTCCACCTCTTTAACACACACGTTATTGTGGGCCAGGGGAGAAGTTTAGGTTGCGATTTTGTATTATTGTTGGCAAGACTTCCTTCTTGTTGATCTCAGGAAATGTCTTGAAAATCTAGCATTTCTCCTCGCCCTTTGCTTCAAGGCCATTCTCTTGAAATCTCAGAGCATTCGAAATCAACACTTTAACAAGGTTCATTTGTTTTCCTTTCTGTTTTTCCAAATGAGAAAACCTCCCTAAATCGCTACACCTCCCACCCGCTCGCTGCACAATCGTAAACCTCAGACAACTTTAGACAGTCTTAAGAGTACGACTGTAGGGAATTTCAGGTTTTTGGAGCCTGACTGCAGTCAGACATTAACCAACAGATTGTCAATAGTCATATTGTTAATAGTTACAGTTGGTCTATAGTTTTAGTTGGTCTATAATTATAACTGCTCTGTAGAGATGGTCCACAGTTACACATGGTCAATAGTTACAGATGGCCAATAGTTATAGAGTCAATAGTTACAGATGGCCAATAGTTACACATGGTCAATAGCTACAGATGGCCAATAGTTACACATGGTCAATAGTTACACATGGTCAATAGTTAAGATGATCTATAGCCACATATCTCCCGTACTATGCATCATGATTGGTCTCAATTTAATGGTACAATCTGTATTTGGTGCATTGAATGGGGCCTTCATATACAGGTCATGAAGCCCCATTAATGCCATTTTATTATTTAATAGACATTTTGTGTGTGCAATTATTTTTTTCTAATTTGGGAAACACTTCGAAACAGAGTGCATTACGAGGGCGCTCACCATAAGAGGACTTCATTGGTAACCCGTTGCTAACATGTTGACAAACGATCAGAAGTCAAGACCTATTTACTAAAATAACTACTCCATCATATCCCCAACATTTATCTATTGATTTGAAAAACAATTTCAAGAAGTAATTGTAGTCAAGGGACTTACGTTTTGGTGTTGTCCCACAGAGCACAGTAAGGGTTGAAGGTTCCCTAGAAAAGGAAAGTTTTGTGGTGAATTCACTTCCCATTTTTTACACAGGATTACAATATTTGTATTCGAAAAAAACACAATAATTTGCACTCATAAAGAGCTAATCACCTAGGTCAGTCAGCTGTGACATTTCACCCATATCAGGTATCTCTGACCTTTTGCCTCGGGTCAGTTCACCTACAAATACACAGTCACTTCACTTTAAAGTATTCTATTCCAACAATCAATCACTGGAATTTCCATGTGTAGGTGGGATGTATGAAATTCTGTTTGGTTTGGATACTCTTAAGCAACGGTGATGGGTTTCCGCTTATATCTGTGGAGTCCTGTAGCTCAGTGGGTGGAGTCCTGTAGCTCAGTGGTTAGAGCACTCGCTTTGCAAGTGAGAGACCTGAGTTCAATTCCAGGCAGAGGGCGAAACCTTGGGCAAGTTTCCTTACTCCATACAGAGCCTAATAATAATCCCTCCAAAACCAAAAACAATAATAAATTGGTCATTTTCAATCCATGACTGTTTGTGGGACATTGCTGTGCGCAATTGGCTGCCGCGTTCCCCCACAAATATACAGTCAATTCACTTTACAGTGTGTTCTGTGAAGCGCTTTGGGATGTCCTCCCGACGTGAAAAGCGCTATATCAAATGCAAGGATTATTATTATTATATCAGACACCTGGTTAACCAAAAAAAAAATCCTGTGAAGCACTATGAGACGTCCTCCTGACATGAAAGGCGCTATACCACATGTAATGATTATTATTATTATTACCTTGTATCACTTCACAATAACTCACCTTTATATAGCTTCTTTCACCTAAGTAACACATTTTGATACGTCCCTCAACAACCCGCGTTCATAACAAAAATAATCCTTGCATTTTATACAGTACTTTATCACATCGTCAAGAAGCTCAAAGCACGTTACACGATTTTTACTGTAAAGTGTAGTGACTCTTTGCTGTTGGCAAAAAAAAAATGGCAAACATGACAGCCAGTAAAGTGCCACAAACAGGCATGAAGTGAATGATCAATTTTAACTGAGAGGTGTTGGCCAGGACACCTTGTTGGCCAGGGAGACCATGAAACAAGGAGCAAGCTAGAATTTGCAGTGTCAAATGTCACAGTTCAGTGGACAAAAGGACTTGAAAATTTATAATGTTTAGAAAATAATAATAATAATCCTTGCATTTGATATAGCGCCTTATCACGTCATTGAGACATCTCAAAGCGCTGTATAGAATATACTATAAAGTCAATTGACTGTGTATTTTGTGGGCAAAATGCACCAACAACAACGAGGATTTACATAGCGCCCTCCACGCCGGATGGCATCTCAGAGCGATTCACAGTACCTGATCCCGGGGCCGAGCCAGGGGGAGGGGGAGGGGGAGGAAGGTGACCAAAGACGCGGTCGAAAAGAAAGGTCTTCAGCAGAGACCTGGAAATGGGAAGGGAGGGAGCGAGATGAAGGGAGTGAGGAAGGCAGTTCCAGAGCCTCGGGGCATAGTGGCTGAAGGCACGGCTGCCGAGGGTGGAGCGGAGGACTCGGGGGACGAGGAGGAGGACAGACCCGGAGAAACGAAGGCAACGGGTACTGTTTTGAGGAGAGAGGAGGTCAGAGAGGTAGGGGGTGCAGGGACTTGAATACAAGGGTGAGGATCTTGAAATTGACCCTCTCTGGGATAGGCAGCCAGTGCAGTCTGGCAGCAGCCAATTGCGCACAGCAGTGTCCCACAAACAGTCATGGATCGAGTGACCAAATAATTATTATTATTTTTTTGGAGGTTATCACCCAGTTAAGATGTCCGCCAATTGGTAAGAACCGGGTTCCTACTAACTGCTAAGTAAACAGAGGGGTGTGGAGCAAAGAAGCTTGACTGACACAGGGTCAGTGAATGTCCCATAAACAGTCGTAGATTGAGTGACCAAATTATAATTAGTTTTTTTATATACAGTACATGTGTAAAATGTGTGTGTAAATTGTAGAGTCCTGTAGCTCAGTGGTTAGAGCACTCGCTTTGCAAGTGAGAGACCTGAGTTCAATTCCAGACAGGGTGAAACCTTGGGCAAGTTTCCTTACTCCACACAGAGCCTAATAATAATCCCTCCAAAACCAAAAACAATACTAAATTGGTCATTTTCAATCTACGACTGTTTGTGGGACATTGCTGTGCGCAATTGGCTGCCGCGTTCGCCCACAAATATACAGTCAATTCACTTTACAGTGTGTTCTGTGAAGCGCTTTGGGACGTCCTCCCGACGTGAAAAGCGCTATATCAAATGCAATTATTATTAGGATTATTATTAAGGTGAAACCTTAGGTAAGTTTCCTTACTCTGCACGCCTGATAATAATCCCTCAAGAAAAAAACCCAATAATAAATTGGTCACTTCAATCCATGACTGTTTGTGGGACACTGCTGTGCGTAATTGGCTGCCACTTTTCGTCCACAAAACACACAGTTAATTCACCTTACAGTCTATTCTGTGAACTGCTTTGCGACGTCTAGAAGACATGAAAAGCGCAATATCAAATGCAAGGTTTATTATTATTATTATAAATTACATGTGATGAAACATATGCAAACAAGTTCAATTCACAATGGTTGCATTTGCGTCTTTCAATTGAAGAACGTCACAAAATAAGATGGATGATACGTTTCAGTGAAATAAATGACTAAATACTTACGTTGCTCAAGTGCGCAAGCTCTATCTCCAGAACAGAGTCGGCAAGCTTTGGTTCCGGTCTCACTGTAATGGCGATTACTTTGGAGTTTACAACGGTATAATTTCTGAGAGGGACGGCGAGAGTTGAGGGATGTGGTGGGGAGAGGGTAGAGAGAAGAGAAAGGGAAACATTAGCTTGGAGATTCAGGGAACGATACGATCACGAATTTAGATGCAACACTGAAATTCAATAGGATTCAATAGGAGCTTTACATTGGAGCTTTGAGCATCCTGAGATGCTGCCTCGCACGAAGGGTGCTCTATAAATGCTTATTGTTGTTGTTGAGCTCACAGTGACAGCTTGAATCCAGGTGCAGTACTGGGGAGAGCTGTGATGTGGGAGGTGTCACCCACTTAGGTTGAGACATTAATAAGGCAGATCAGGTCCTAGCTGTTGATTGGAAAAGAGAAGGGTTTCTCCAATTGTCCTGTGCAACAGTCTTCCTGAAACACTGATCATTCACCTCATGGCTCTTTGTGGCATTTGCTATGGCAAACTGAGTGTAATATTTGCATGCAAATAACAATCGTCTAATCATCTCAAAGCGCTGGCACAGGGAATTGTTGTTAAGTGTAGAGAACATATTTGTGGGGGAATGCCAGGAGAAATTCTTCTCTTTGAATAGTGCCATGGAATTTTTAACATCTGCCTGAACAGGCAGACAATACCAAGTTTAACATCTCATCCGAAGGACGGCACCTCCGAAAATGCAATGCCCCCCCAACACTGCACTGGAGTGTCAGCTTAGACTTATGAGTTCCCAAGTCCCAATGTGGGGCTTGAAGCCACAACCTTCTAACTCAGAGACGAAAGTGTTACGAGACACGCTGTTCCTAAAAATCAGTGGCGAGCCTAATAACAGACCTCATAACCTCCGGAAAAGTGCGATGGATGAACCCACACCGTTCGCAAAGATTTTGCAAAGAATGTACAGCACGGAAACAGGCCACTAGACCCAACCATATGTATAAAAATAATTCCTCATTAGGTATTTGATCTTGTTAAGTCAAAGGAGACTGAAAATAAATGTCAATTTGTGAATCAAAATGATCGGATACAGCGCAAGACTATGTCGTAAATAGTCTTACATTTGATATAGGGTCTTTCATGTCAGGAGGAGATCTCAAGGTGCTTCACAGGATTTACTGTAAAATGCACTGAACTGTGCATGTGTAGGTGAACATACAGCAGTGTCTCAAAAACAGCTATGAAATGTATGACTGATTTTATCCGGGGGCATGTTGGCCGGGATACCGGGAGAAACTCCCTTCTCTTTCCGAACAGTGCCATGTGATCTTTACCATCCACCTCAATAGGCAGACAAGATATTGATTTAAAGCCTTTACTAAGCTACAACATCTCTGACAATGTAATGCTCCCTTAGCATTGCATAGCAGCATTACTGTACAACGTGAGGTCTAAGCTATCAAGCTACCGGCCCATCTCCAACCTCCCCTTTCTCTCCAAGGTCTTGGAAAGAGTTGTCGCCTCCCAACTGCGCTCTTTCCTCTCCACCCATTCTCTTTTTGAACCCCTTCAGTCAGGTTTCCGTGCTGCTCATAGCACAGAAACTGCCCTGGTCAAGGTCACCAATGATATCCTGACTATCTGTGACCAGGGCTCCCTCTGTCTCCTCGTCCTCCTCGACCTATCGGCAGCATTCGATACGGTCGACCACGCTATCCTACTCCACCGCTTGTCCTCCCACCTCAACCTTCAAGGCACTGTCCTTGAATGGTTTAGCTCTTACCTTTCCCACCGTCTTCACTTCGTCTCAACGAATGGCTTCTCCTCCACCCCCCGTACTGTCTCATGTGGTGTCCCTCAGGGCTCTGTCCTCGGTCCCCTCCTCTTCACCCTCTATATGCTCCCCCTCGGTGACATCATCCGCAAACATGGGGTTAACTTCCACATGTATGCGGATGACACCCAACTCTACCTTTCCTCCTCTACTCTCAACTCCACGACCACCGATGTCCTGACAGCCTGCCTGTCCGACATCGAGTCCTGGACGAGAGACAACTTTCTTCAGCTCAACGTGCGAAAAACCGAGGCCCTCCTGATTGGCTCACGTCAGCGCCTCCGCACCTCAGGCGCTGACACCATCAGCATCCAAGGCTGCACTCTCCACCTCTCAAAGCCAGTCAGGAACCTCGGCGTTTTGTTCGACCCTGAGCTGTCCTTTCTCCCTCACATCCGCACCACAACTGGCACCGCCTTCCATCACCTCCGGAATATCGCCAGACTACGGCACTACCTCACCCCTCACGCTGCTGAAACCCTGGTTCACGCCTTTGTCACCTCAAGGCTGGACTATGGGAACTCTCTCCTCGCCGGCCTTCCCGGCACCTCCCTCCACAAGCTGCAGGTCATTCAGAACTCTGCAGCTCGTGTACTGTCCCGCACCAGGCTTCGGACCACATCACTCCCACCCTCGCTCGCCTCCACTGGCTCCCCATCCCCCAGAGGATTGATTTCAAGATCCTCATCCTCACCTACAAGGCCATTCACGGCCTTGCTCCCTCCTACCTCTCCAACCTACTATCCCCCTACCTACCTGCCCGTACCCTCCGTTCCTCTGGCTCCGGTCTGCTCCACGTCCCCCGCCCCAACCGCCCTACTATCGGTGGTCGGGCCTTCAGCCTCTCAGCCCCAAGGCTCTGGAACTCCATCCCCCAGTGCCTTCGCCTTGCTTCCTCCCTTTCCTCCTTCAAGGCCGGTCTCAAAACCTTTCTCTTTGACCGTGCCTTCAGCTCCCCTCTCGACTCTCTTCCTCCTCCTCGCTCCCTCCCTTCCCTCCCCTCACCCTGACCATTTCCCCCCTCCTCTCTCCCTCCCTTCCCTCCCCTCACCCTGACCATTTCCCCCCTGCTCGGGTCATGACCCAACTGTGCAGCGCCTTGGGACGTCCTCCTGACGTGAAAGGCGCTCTATAAATGGAATCTTGTTGTTGTTGTTGTTGTAAGCCTTGATGTGCAGCTTGAATCCCCAACCTTCTGACAGAGAAGCAAGAGAATGCTACCAAATGAGCAAGACTGAACATTAGAATAATATTAGTCCTTGCATTTGGCATAACACCACATCATTGAAACATTGAAGAATTCATGGCTAGGGAAATAAAGTCAGAGCTTAAAAAGTGACTGCCTAGATACATTACCTGATCCTTCTAAGAACTTGTGTTTTTATAGCACTTGATCGCATTGGAATGTCTCAAAGCCCTTCACAGGATATACTCCAAAGCATTTGCTGTAAAGTGTAGTGACTGGATATTTTTATAGATTGAAAGTGACATCCAGTTTACACAGAGTAATGTCCAACAAACAGCTCTGAAGCAAATGCCCAATTTTATCTGGGAGGATTGCTAGCCAGGACACTGAGAGAAATTCCCTTCTATTGCCAAAGGGGTTGAATAAAACCAATTGCTTTAAACCATAAATTTGCTAATGGCACACCGCTAGAGAAATGAGATCTGGAAAGCTCAGAGTGCTTTATGCCTCTGGGCATTGATCACAGTAACAGCTGATGGATGGAATGAGTGAATGGAAACAGTTAATACAAACTGTGGACTTTAGCAATGGGGCAGTGGTCAGGACGGCCATAATTCTTGCATTACATGAGATGTTGACCCTCCTCAAGGACACGTTCACAATTATCTGCTTAAAGCAAAGAGGGAAGTTTCCCCGGTGTCCTGACCAACAATTCCCCCAAATAAAATTGGTCATTGAGGGTTTGTAGGACATGCTGTGCACAAAATGGATGCTACGTTCACCCACAAAGGTCACAGTCACTACATTTTACAGTATATCCCGTGAAGCGCTTTGAGACGTCTTAATGACATGAACGGCACTATGTCAAATGTAAAGATTATTATTATTGCTGTTGATCCTGCTAACTTCAGCGGCATGAGTGGTTTTCAAATCGAAGTTCTATTTAAAACTCGCAAGGAAACAATAAGACAAAACATCCTGGCTGTTAGAGGAACATTTCTGTGAGCAAATTGGCTGCTACAACCACTTCACTTAACAGTAAATCCAAAATAGCAAGTCTTGTCAACATGATAAAGAGCTATAAGAGTGGAGGCCTGTAACTTAGTGGTTAGAGCAATCGCCTCGCAACACTGGCAGGGCAAAATCTTAGGCAAGTATCCTTACTCCACATGCCTCTGTTTACCCAGCAGTAAGGAGGAAGCAGGTTGTTAGTCAATTGGCAGATCACTTTTTGGGGTAATAATCGCTTCAAAAAANTTAATAATAATTTGGTCACTCAATTCACGTTTGTGGGACACTATTGCGTGGAATTGGCTGTCACATTTGATCCATAAAATATACAGTTAATTCACTTTATAGTATAATCTGTGAGGCACTTTAATACATCTCAATGACATGATTAGGCGCTATATCAAGTTCAAGGATATCAAAAGGTTTTACCCCGCCGGGAATCGAACCCAGGTCCTCTCGCTTTGGAGATGAGTTCGCTGCAGGCCTAGACTGTGAGCTTAAAGTCCCAACATGTGCAGCTTGAACCCACAACCTTCTGACTCAGAGGCGAGAGTGCTCCCAGCTGCGCCAGGCGGACACCTTCATCTTCCCCTTCCTGACACTCCGAACAGCGGCTTTTAATGAGGATAATTCAGCTGTCAGACGTTCAGACGTGCGCTGTGAGCTCCGAGCTGTGACGTTTAGCCTCGGCTGTTTTCTCTTAGAAAAACGCATGTTACACATCTTGCTTCCACATCCGATCGAGACTGGGCGAGAGGTATTTATAGCCACAGGGCCATATGCAGCTCTGTTATTTTCCTCTCAATCATTCTGTTATTCAAGGCTATGGAAATCATTACGTGGTCAAAGGTAACAACCAGGGGCACATTGGCAGATACAACAATAGTAAAACCACCAGTCTGGTCCCACGTAAATTATCGGTTGTAAGCGAGAGGCTGCACAATCTTCAAATTGTAACCCACTGATCTGAAGGCGAAGGCCAGGTGGAATTTCAGACTTCTGATACTTTAATGGGAATTACAGCAAATATATCCTTTTGGGGGCATATGTCCCATTGACTGTGTAT